TTTTAACATAAATTTTCGAAAAAATTACTAGTAATTCTGGCCAGCACTATAAAATTGGCCTGGACTACTATATAGTCACATGACCGTTCGTTATAGAAAGTATAAAGTTATTATATAGCTGATATATAGGGGCTGGTTAAGTTTGGTTCGGATGCGTTATATAGTGTTTTATTATAAAAGTTCGTTATATCCAGTGAAATTATTTATAAAAAATCGGTTCTGGAAATTATGATTCGGTATAGCGAGGTTTCGGTACAAACAGGTTCGTTATAACCAGAGTCGACTGTATATCAGATTATATAATAACCTACTGCCGGCTGCCCGACAACCCGACAATCAAATTTCTCAAGTGTCCCGTATATTTTGAATTTTGCTGTAAACTGTTTATCTATCATGAAATTGTTTTATAATGGCAGACGAAGGATAAGCTATTCTAGAGGAGATAACAGTTTATCAGTTGGGGCCGACTTTAAGCCATACTTTGAATAAAGATAAACGTAGATCCATACAGACCATATGCTATAATTTGAAAATGGGTCTGAATTATTTAGACACTAATATTTTATTTGACAGATTATATCGGTAAATGATTTTAAATGATTAACCATAGAAATAATAGAATATTGGAACAATCGTTGTTACTGAATTTTGGACAGCTTACAAGATATAAATTGTAAAGTGCTAGCTATTATTCTAAAACTCTTTTCACTTAAGAGGAGGTTGTTGAGGCCGCCATCACATTCATCAATCTCTTTATTTCCTGATGTTCAATATGGAAAGTTTTCTTTCATGGCATTAGTTTCGCAAGCACCATCCAAAAGATATTCGAGGTTTACCGCATTCTGGACAATCTTTCAGTTCTTTGGAATAAATTTATTTCCTTGTTGATAAGATAAATTTTCCTTCATTTTGTCGAAATTATTAATCAAGTAAATTATTGTTGATCACGTGTAACAACGACCGTGATTTTTAAATCCGAAAAAATTATGAAATTGTTGCTCATATTTATCAAAATTTATGTTTGCATATTATAATCCTTTAAATGGCAAGTCAATTAACACTCTATGTAATCATTTTTCGGACTTATAAATTTACTGATTTCGACTAGTTTGCTGAACTCTAATAAAAGCCAAAATCAAACTTTTCAGTCTGAAGTCTGAACTATACGTGTATTTAAATATTACAGAAATTTTTAAGCTGGCTTAACATGGATATATGAAAATAAACTAAAAGTTTGAGAAAAAAAAATGATTTTGGAGTTTGGACTTAATGGTAATTATATCTACTTTTGATATACTAATCGGTTTCTTTTCTCTTTAATTTTAGTGATAAAAAATTAAAAACCAATGACAATTTCATGATTTTACATATACTATCAGAGATTATCAGAGATGATACTTTTCGAAGTTATTCATCATAACGAAAAATTAGGAGAAGTTGATGAAGTAAGTTATTTACTTTGTTTTATTAAAAATGTGTTATTATTAAAATGCGGTTATTAAAATATTTGGATTTTTTGTTCCAATTTCTCCCATTAACTGACTCCAAATTTAAATACAATATCAATATTATAATTAATTTAATAAATTTTTTTTTGAAATATTACATTGATGGAATATTCTTGAACCATTTTTTTTTTGCAACGATATTAAAAGTATTTGGTTAAGTTGTTTGATCGCCACCGCTAAATATCGCATACCCACCAAATGAAATGTTATTACCTAAGAGCTAAGATAGTGATACGTCTATTTGGTGTTTTTTTTTTAAAGCCGGAAATTTCGAAATACGGGCAACTCCTAAAAAGTTCATTGTAACTGATGGATGCAAAAAAAAGAATTGATCAGATTACCCGCGAAACGTTACAAATATATTCGTCATATTATACAAATATTTTAAATCTTTACTATTCTAAACACTTTCAAGATAAGGACAAGTTCTTTATCTAAGATTTTTAAATAGGACAAATTATTTATGTATAAAAGTAAGTTAAAAAGAAAATTTCAAATTTTCCACAAAAAAAAAAACTATTGATTATTCGTTGCGTTTGAATACTATAAAATATTTTTTTTCTTGTTTACAAATTTAAAATAAGTTTATTGATCGGTACCGCATTTTCTAATAAAAAAATTGTTCCCAGCAAAATAATGGTAAGTAAAGGAAGAGAATATGACTAATTCTCAACATAAACCCGCTTTTACCCTAACTTAATCCTAAATTTCGCTTGCAAAAAAAAAACAATTGTTTTTATTTATATATATTGGTGGTGGTGGATTTATTTTAAATTCTTGTTATAAGTTGTTAATTATATCTTTCCTTGAAAGGTATTTACATTTGGGATAAATTTCATGATTATCACCCATATTAGATTTTATTTTTAAAAACCACGTGAACAAGATTACAGAAAGATAGACAAGAACAAAAGATAAAACAAAAGTCGAACGCTATCTAATACTAAGCTATAATCAAACCGCCCGAGGACAGCGCCACTCTGGTACCTTTAACGAACCCGGAGGAGTCCCTAACACGACATCACAACCCAATGGACCAAAGAAAAGGCTTTAGCACAATCAGAACTAAAAAAGAAATGATCCGTATTTTTCTTTTGGTCGGTTAAGACCACCACCTGTAAATACTGTCATAGGTGGAATGTTTCACACTATTCTTATTGTTGTACTATGGTATAAAAATTAGTACGTGGGGTTACCCAAAAAAAAAAGATGTAAAAAAAAAAATTACTAGTCTAAAATGAATGTGTGGCTAAAAAATGTAAGTATATAACTATCAGCAAGCCACTAAGAATAAAGTAAATAAGCTGAAAGTTGTAATCGAACGGGGTTAAGGTAAAGCGAAGACTTTAGAGTCTTCAGGAGACATTATATCCAGTCTCAATTTTTTGATCTCAATGTTATGCCTATCTGTATACGCAGGTAAGATAGGGGGACGCTTGTGTGGTCTTAGCTCTAGTTGTTTTGTGTCGTCCGAGGTGTGTCCTTTGTAACGGTATTGGGGTGAGTTGTCGTCAATAACGGAAAAGTAGTCAATATTAAAACGACCTAATTCTTGCTCTAGTTGGAGCAATTGTTTATTAGTTTTGTAAACGTTTTTGCCTTGTGTAAGTCTGTTATGTAAAACCGAACGGCGGTCGGCTAAAGGTGTGATTTTCTTATGAAAATGATCTTGAAATTTAGTGAGATCTTTACACATATCTTCACGATATTCTATACGATTGGAGGAAGTACCCCAGAGTTTAGCTCTAGCGGAAAGTTCTTCTTCCTGGGCACGGCGTTTAACTTCCCATGCTTCATGTTCTTTTTGTTGTCGTACAGCTAATTCATGAGCTTCTTTGCGTTTTCTAATACCATCGAACCAGAATCCACATCCTGGTGAAAAATGTTGACCTTTGATTTTTGCCTGTCTCTTAGAAATATAAACAGGTTCATCAGTTACATAAGGGAGAAGGTCGTTAGGAATCCAAATGCCCAACTTCTCATGCCACGTCTCCTCTTCTTTGAGGAGAATGGGTTGTGGTGTGGTGGCAGGTGAGTGAGTATGTGAAGTACTAAGTAAAATATCCCTTGAACGTTGTCGAGAGAGTCGATCTTGGGTCATGCGTAAAACAGTTATTGCGCGTACAGCGCCTACAGGTCGCCTGGATCGTTCAGGAGGTATAGGAAAATTATAATCTTCCGCAAGTCGGAGCATCAGCCCTTTATAATATCTTAAATGTTGTACAGGTTTATTAATATGTTGTGAAGGTAAAAAGAGGAAACGGTGTTGTCGAGCACGGTGTAGTTTTTCGTCAAGAGTTACCAAACCATTGCGAAGTAATTTCTTTTTCTTGTGACCACGATTGTAGAAAACAGATCTACAAGCCCGTTGAAAACGGGATTTTTGTTTTTTGCTCCTTTTACTACTGTCGGAGTGATGTGAACGGAAGTTATTAAATCGTTTTTGATACATACGACGTTCTATGTGTATAGGAACGGAATGTTGATCATTAGCTAGGTATGAAACATCATACGAAATTCCTAGACGGGTTGAATGAACGTGCTTATTGGTACGATGTTGCCATCGTTTATGGATAAGAGTTGCATGAAACTGCTTGTTATTTATGTTATCATCCGATAACAGGGTCGGTTTCTTGATGTTATGAAAAATGTCTAAATTTTTTTGATGAGAAACGCAAGCGCGTCTATTATGAGACATAATGTAAGGAGAGGGGACACGACATATCTGTGTGTGTTTAGGTTCAAAATTGTAGGTGGTGGAAAAATTGCACGGTGTAAATATACCGAAGTAAAAACGGTAACGTTTATATGAAAAATTAAAGAAAGTTTTTGTTTGTGAATTTCTAAGTGTGACTTTATCAGCACGTGAATTGACAAGAAAATATCTATTAAGCAATTTGGAACGGATAAGATTAAAGTATTTCTTTTGGATGGAGCGTGGGATAACTTTTTGATGAGAAAAAAAATGTTGTAACATCTTACTAATCTGAAACCTCAGATTAGGAAAGCTACAGGTGGAAGAGTAGCTAATAGGGGTTGATTTCATGTGATAATCATTTGTGTGTATTTTAAGATGAATATCATTGGTGTTTGCTGAGGGATCGGCTAACTCAAAAAAGAAACTTTTTGATCTTCTGATTTCGTAAATCTTGTTACATCCAGCCCGATTGGGTTTAGTCACGTGAAATTTGTGAAATGAGACGTCGAAAGAAAATTTTCCCAAGGGAATAGGTTTTTGAAAAGTAAAAACCATATTTTTAATATGTGTTTAAAAAGTAAGATAAAAATATAGTAAAAACTTCTTTCAGAGGTCGGGTAATAAAGAGAAGAACCTTTCCATAAGAAGCCACCCAGTGGTCTTCTTTCTTCTCAACGTTCAAAGACGTAAAAAGGGTGTAAAATGTAAAAACAGTATTTAACTGCGGATTTCTATGTGAAAAAATGGAAAGGGGAAAGAGTCTTCGTCCCTCATTCATCACCCATATTAGACGAATTGATCTGAAAATTTGATGATAATCAGATTGATCAACCTTCTTGGAAGGTTTAAGAACCAGAAATCATTCCGAATTGATATAAACAATAGTGTAAAAATCGATGATTGTTGTGATGATGACATCAAAAAGTTGAATTCTGCTACGTATAAATATCAATAATATAAGCCACGTTTCATCTAAGCCAATTAAATGTGGCTTATTTACTTGATTTTCAGGCTTACTTGACTACGGTTCAATACTTTACCACAATATTCATAATCAATTTTTTGTAAATATTTTGAATTTTCACATAATTGAATAAATCGAAAGTATAAATCTACAACATCATAAATAAACTTTAAAATGAATATCAAAGCTTTTTTCGCTATTTTTGTGACCATCATTTCAATTATTTCGACCACGGTATCAGGTTAATAATTAAATAAAGCTTACTTAACTTACTTAACTTGTATTTATTAAAACTAATGATTTTTTTAAGCTCATGATTGTCCTCCTTTATGTATTCCTACACCTTCTCCTGACGGGTGCTTTTGTGATTGAATAAGTTAAGTATCATTAGTTTTAATTTACTTTTATATGAAACTACGGTATTCGTGGTAATATTTACATGTTTCACCATAATTTTTTTCTTCTGTAAATGGACAAGTCATTAAAATAAATTCAATTTTTTTTTTAAATTAGTTGGCATCTCACGAAGAACGATTATAAAAATTCGTTGAAATAAGTGTCAAAGATTCCAAATATTTGTCGAGAAGAAAAGAATTATGTAACAATAAATTTCTCAAAATTAATTTTCCAATCCTCTATTAGTAAATGTTAACAAGTTGTAATTTATTTTGTAAATAAATGTGATCATAAATTTCATGGTTTATTTCTAGGGTTTAAATATAAATAATTTATGCGGAACAGCAATGCAAAATTGTCTTAAATAATATCGAAATTCTTTCATTTCAGAAAAAATAATATGAGATGGGTATTTACGTATCACATGTTAATTTAACACGTGAATAGTTGATTTTTGCAGAGCGAAAACTTTTTAAATTTTAAACATAAATTTATAAAAAATAATTTAATTAAAATTTATTTAACGAATATTTTGTAAGAACGAATAATAAATTTATGTATAAAAATTTTTTTATTCGTAATTGCGCATTGGAATCAAATTGTCAAACTATTTTTTATTGTAAAATATCGATTTTAATAAAATATGCAAATTGATTCAATATTATGTATTGAAGGTTAACTTGTCCCGAGAGCATGAATTTTTCACACCTTTTCCGCGTCTGTCATTTTCTCCATCCTTCTTATAACTGCGAACATGCTCTTCTTACACAACCCGCACCACCTTTTCTTTACCGTTTTTACATAGTTTTACATGCATCTTTATAAACGACTTTGTTAGAAAATCTTTGCCATATTTTTACATACAAGTTCATCATGACCTTTGATAACAAGAGGAGGATTAAGGATATATATCAGGTGGACTGCAACAATTTCGGAATATTTTGTGAATGGCGATCAATCCAGTCCCTTTCAACGTCTGAAAATACAGAATGAACACTAAAATTTTATTTTTTATATAATAACTAAGGCACAGTATTACCGTATTAAATGTATTCTTCGTTTTGGAAGGTATAAAAATTGGAAACTCACTATTGTTCGTATCAACTCGGAATGGTTTCTAGTTCTTAAACCTGCTGATCAATTTGATAAATTTATTGGAAAAAAAGAATTTTATCAGATTGAGTTATTAAGGTATTCAAAGTATTCATCGGATGAATTATTGTGATGATAAAATCAAAAAGTTGAATTATGATGCTACGTATATAAATACCAATAATATAAACCAACGTTTTGCTTAAGCCAATTAAATGTGGCTTATTTATTGATTTTCAAACCTACTCGACTATTGCTCAATTCATTGAATTATATCAAGTACTTTGCCACAATATTCGTTGTTGAAAAAAATAACGCGTTATAATTCTTCGTGTTATATTTTTACAGGACATAATTCAATTTTTGTAAAATACTTTGAATTTTTCAAATTTAATAAAAACAAATTGAAAGTGTAGTTCTTTATAATATCTTAAATAAACTTTTTTAAAACTAATTGAAAAAAAAAATGAAGATCAAGGCTTTTTTCGCTATTTTCGTGATCATCGTTTCAATTATATCGACCACGGTATCAGGTTAATAGAAAAATAAAATTTTATTTTATTACTGAGTAAATTTACTTATATTTATTCAAAACTATAATTTTTAAGCTCGACGTTGTCCTCCTGGATGTATTTTTCGTTTTGGCAAGTGCCTTTGCGGCATGTAATCATGTGAATAGGTTATCATTATTTTAAAACTACGATAGTCGTGGTAAAATTATATAGTACTGAAAAAGGATATTATATATTACGTAATTTTTTCTTCTATGGTAGAATAAGTCATTAATTTTTTTTTTTTTAAATTAGTTGGTGTCAAATTATTAGTGTATAATATTAAAGCACAAGAAACGATTATAAAAAAATTCTGAAATTTTATCTATCTTATTAAAGCTGAAATGAGTGGGTTGAGATTTTTTAGGTAGAAAGGTACAGTCAAACCTCTATGTACCGATGAGGTTGTTTTAGGGAAACAGTATCGGTACATTGAATTATTGGTACACAATTACTGTATATCATATTGTAAATCACGTTTATTATCAGATTAGCGGACAGTCAGACCTTGATATCGCCGATGCTTCTAATTGGAAACAATATCAATACATTGAATATATTACGAGTAACATAATGTGGAGCAAATACCACCCGATTAATGGCCCAAAATAATTAATTTCGGCAAAATAAACCGCAAAAGAGTTCAAATTAAATTTTTTACTTGGGCCAACTTTATAGTGCTGGCCCGAATTAATACTAGTGTAGCTAAAAATATTGGTACATCTTAATATATGTTATTATAAAAGGATCAAGAAAAAGTATTGGTATACGTTACATCGTGAAATTATATACAATATCGATACAACGCGGTTTTTTTATTATATGTGAAACGAGACAATGAAAATTTATCGGTACAGGAAATTATCGGTACACCGGGGATCGGTACATAGAGGTTTGACTGTAAATATGTTGCAATAAATTTCTCAAAATTAATTTCCAACCCTTAATTAGTATTAAATGTCAACGATTGTAATTTATTCTGTAAATAAATGTGATCGTAAATATTAAATATGGCAGTTTATTTTTAATAATTTATAATTAGGGATGGGAATTGACTCGCTCGGTCCATTCCGGTTCTAAATTGATACTAAGACCCCGAGAAATATATAAATAGGTCATAGGAAATTAGCAAAAATTTACTATTAGCTCTACGCATTTTTTCAGGGCCGGAATTATGATAATGTCAGTCAGCTACTAAAATAAGTAATAAAATTCTGACCAACATTATCGAAATTATTTAAAAAAGGAAAGATTTCCATGGTTATTTGGCCTATTCTACGCGTTTATTTCTTACTATTTGAACGGGCAAAACTGAAAGTAATCAAAAGGAACAAAATAACTCAAACCAAACCTTTTTCATCCCTATTTGTAATATTGGGTTTAAATATAAATAACTTGTGCAAAGCAGTGATGCAAAAATTATCTTTAATAATAAAATAAATTAAATATTGATAATTTCAGGAAAGTACTGTAAGAGCGGTGGAAAATCTCCGCTTTATATACTTACTATACACTGGTCGAAGTGGGATGATTTGCATGAAGTTTATTGCCCATAAATAGCTTATACATTTGTTGATCTCAATTACGCTTAAGAAATCTCCATCAAATTTAATTTATAGATTGAAACGGGTAAAATTTATTGTAAATTTTATGATTTTAAAACTAATTCGCTAATTATAATGTATAAATTCTAAATAAATTTTAATTAAATTTAATATCAATGTTTATTACGCATATAATAGCTTGAAATTTACTTGAAATATGATATTAAATTTGCAACAAGCCATTTACTTACTATTATTGAAATTTTGCTATACTAAAACAAAATTTATATTATTACAAAATTACAAAAAAAAAGCAAAGAGATAATCATAAACTTCGTAGCCACGCTCAATTAAGGCAATGTATTACTAGACCTATGCTAAAGATGACTTTAGCAAGGCTTTCTTTGTGAAATTAAAAGAAATTTCATACACTTTGCCAGCTGGTGAGAAAGCTTATGACCTCTAATAATCTCAAGTCAATTTATATTAAAAAATCTAGAATGTTTGTGAGAAATAT